TTTAATTCCATTCTTTGTTGGGAATTTCATCATTTGGTGGAGAGTGGATGGTACTACTCTCATGCAGTGTATCCCTGGCTATCCGAGCAAGGCGTTGTTCCTTATGTCTCCTTCGATGACATGGAATTTAGCATTTTGGGTTGTGCCGGCCACGATGACTGGGAGGGTGATTTCTCCTTTCGTCGTTTCACTTGCCATGTTGAATCCATTGAGGACTCGAGTGGCGGGCACGATTTGGTCAAGCAGTCCAAGCTGCTCTATCACCCTCCACCCGATGATGTTGGCCAAGCTACCTGGATCCACAAGTACATGTTTTATTTGAAAACAATTTACAAGGAAAGAGATTACCAATGCGTCATTATGAGGCTGAGACAAGGTCTCGGTGTCCTCTTCGCTGAAGGTGAGGGTGTCCTCGGGAATATATCCCCGGGTTCGCTTTTTTTCTGGTGATGGATATTTTCGTCCTTCTTATTACGGGTTCCTGTTGGGCATCGATGCCTCCCAAGATCATGTGGATGACATGTTGTGGCTCATTTGCTTCATTCTTCTTGGCCGCCTCTCTTTCCCAGAACTGATATTTGGCTCGGTCGCTAAGGAATTCTCGGAGGTGGCCTTTGTTAAGTAGTCAAGCTACTTCTTCTCGGAGTTGGTGGCAATCCTCGGTCTTGTGGCCGTGCGTGTTGTGAAACTCGCACACTAAGTTATGATTCCTTTGTGAAGGGTCCGATTGTACGGGCCTGGGCCACCTGGCATCTCTGATTTTACTGATGGCGAACACAATGTCTGATACATCAACGTTGAAGTTATATTCTGATAAGTGAGGTGCCCCCGTTGGCCCCGCGTTTTTATCGAATCCGGCTCTGTTGATGAGTCCCCGAGGATTCTGTCCTCGGTATATCCTTCGATCATTGCGAGGTGGGTTGTGCCTCAGAGCGTTCCTTCTGTCTTCGGTGTATGGTTGGTATCTTTCTTTGTTTGGCTTTGGCTCCTTCGCCAAGAGCCTGCTTGGATATACTGAGCCCGAGGGGGATCCCAACTGGTCGTCTTCGACCCTGATCTTCGACTGGTATCGGTTATGGACGTCCGACCAGGTCACAACGGGATATTCGATCAAATTCTGTTTCAACTATTTTGAAGCCACTGATCTTCATTCGTTCATACCTTGAGTGAAAGCATGCACTGCCCAGTCGTCGAAGACTGGCGGTAGCTCAATCCGTTCCATTTAGAAACGAGATACGAACTCTCGTAGCATTTCGTTCTCTCTCTGCTTGATTTTAAACACGTCGGATTTCCTCGTTGCTACTTTGATGGCACCAGCATGTGCTTTTATGAAGGAGTCTACCAGCATGGCAAATGAATCTATGGAGTTAGGAGCTAGGTTGTGATACCACATCATGGCCCCCTTCGAGAGTGTCTCCCCGAACTTCTTTAGCAAGACAGACTCAATCTCCTCATCCCTTATATCGTTGCCCTTTACTGCACAAGTGTATGCAGTAACATGCTCATTGGGATCTGAGGTCCCGTTGCATTTTGGGAGTTCCGGTATTCTGAACTTCTTTGGAATGAGTTTCAGGGCCACTTCCTCGGGGAACGGCCTTTGTCGTTGACTTCTATCATTTTCTCGCCCGATTCAATCCTTTTGATGAGGTCCTTGAGCATTTTTGCGATGGCGGGATCGGTCATCGACCCGTTATTGCTTGATCTCTCCGATACCTGTTCAGCTAGGGGAGCTGCCCCCGGTGCTACCGTGCTGGGAGTTTTCTGGTGACTTTGCAGCTAAGCAATAGCTAGCTGTTGTGCCTACAACATTTCAAAAATAACGTGAAGGCTAACCTTACGTTCTTCCCTGGTTGGGATTTTCTGGGCTTCCTGCGGATCTTCCTAACGCACGCTCTTATCGGTATGCGAGCTTATATCGATGCGTTGGGCGTCGCATGAGACCGCGTCCATGGGGATTGTTCTCACGCATTCCCAGGGTTTTGTGGTGGCACACCAACACCCAGAACATCCACACCGTTCTCTCCGTGGTCCTCGAGATTGTTGTTTTCGCCTCCATTCACTGAGTTAGACATGTTGACCTAAAATCAAAGATCTTGGACAAGGAAAAATGTGAAAGATAACTTGCGTTGTGTGACGAAACCAGGAAGAAAATAATCATTATTACTTTTAGCCCAACGGTGGGCGCCAAACTGTTTACCGTGAAAATGGTAATAACAATTAAATTTATTGATGGGACTCTAAAAATACGTGATCTATTTTTATGCTAGTTTGTTGAGCACTTGATGCTAAGTATATGAAATTTAGAGATGAAGTAAAGTCAAGGAGGGAGTTATAACCAAACTGGTAGGCCAGTTACTTGGTACCTCGGGCTTGTCGATTCTGGGCCTCGAGGTCGATCGCAGAGCTCAGCTGTGAGCTATTGAGGGCAACCAGGGTAGGGATAACAGTTGTGGGATAACTGAGGGAAGCTCTTTATGACCAATGATAAACAATAAATGAAGAACAAGTATGAAGACAATAAATGAAAACAATAATATCAAGAGAGTGTGAGAGAGCAAAGAGTGTGTTCTTCTATATTTCTTATGGAGCAGCTGGAACAATAACCGAGCCTTACAAAGTGTCAAGGATCCCATTTTTATAGGAGAGAAATCCCAACATAGTACAAAATACATTAATGATAAAGAAATCGGGATGGGACAGCTGGCTAACTTCATGATGCAGGCTTAGACTAGCTTCAGACTAGCCTGACAGATTTTGCCGGTCCTGACTGCACTCTTTGGGAACTCCCCATATCTATTGGGTTCACGACCACGTTATCCTTAGGTCGGGTGTCGATGGACCTCGAGGGAGGGTACTCGATCCATGGTCTCAAGCCTTCGAAGCGATCTTCCGAGATGCCTTATCAACGAGAATCGGTTCCTCCGATTTCACCGTATACAAGGACTTTGTGCATCAAAAGGAATTTATATTTATGGGAAACACTTGTATGTTAATAGAAGGTTGAAGAGTTAAAAAAAAACAAGGAAACCCAAATCTAAATAGGAGGGGTTTTCCTTAACCGAAATATTCTATGTTTTGAAGCATTAATTGAAGAAGATTTTCAGTAAACCTTGCACCTGTAAAAGAAGACGTTTTTCCGTACTTCATGACTACTACTATTGAGGGAAGTCATTGATAATACTTCTGACGATAGCAAGCACAACAAAAAGGTACTTCTAAAGATTCAGCCAACCAACTGAAAAACCAGTTTTAGAAGATGAAGCTGTTTGAGTTCTTTAGTTGTTAGGTTGAGTCTAGTATTCTAAGTTGTATCCTATTTGCTTTTAAAGAAGTGTAAGTATAGATTATTGTTGAAACTTCATTTTTGTAAGCTTTCTAGGCTAGAGTTAGTTTGGGAAGGGGTTGCTACAATTGGGTTACGGGTTAGGGTACTAGAGTTAGTCCCCTTGGTTATAGAGTTGTAACCTAAAACTGCTCTTTGAAGTTTAGCAGAGATTAGAGAAAAATCCTACGGGGTAGGTAGTGGTTTTAATCCCTTGATCAAGGATGTTTTTCACATAAAATCTCTGTGTTGGTTACTTTCGACAATAATTTCTGTTTGTATCTATTAGAATAGTTCAAAGAACCATGTTCTTTGAAAATGCGAAAATCAAGTAAGACACAATTCACCCCCCTTCTTATATCTAGGTGTAATCTAAAATAACAACTACCGAGGCGAACGACCCGCTCCCATAATAATATTTCATAACACTGTCGAGGCGAACAATCCAATCCCACAAGAATAAAGAAACTTTCATTGGGCCACTAGCCCCACTCGTGAAGTTACGTGCAAGTCACGAAACCAAGGAACTACCGATCACATAAGTACAAAACAAGTATATGAATGCAAGATAAAGCATAATTTTTACCGACAATCAAGTATCCCGCCAAAACATAAAGTAAAGAGGCTCGGTCAAATACGTAGATTCTAGCCTCAAGCTTAGTTATGAATTCAAGTAATCAAATAGGAAAGATTAATTCAAGTAGTACAGTTAAGGCATGATATAAGTCTAAGTCTATCCGGACATAACCAAGTATCTAGCATACGCACGGAAGCTCGTCACCTCGTATATACGTAGAACCCATAACACGTAGCACATAACAGAAAAAATACATATGGGGATAATTATAAGATTAGGCAAAAGATTACCTTGCTTCCGAATCCATTACTCTACCCATACACCTCATTAACACCTCAAACGATGCTCAAAAACTCATAATTAACTATTAGAATCAATTTCTAACCCCATTCGAAAAGTCAAAAAAAGCCAACCTCGGACCCTCCCGCCCGAATAACGGAAATTTTCGAAGATAAATATTATCCATAGACTCATGAACTCAGATATATAATTTTTTTTCTAATTTCATGCCCAAACTAGTAGCCAAATACCATTTTTACCAATTCTAGTTTTTCCAACAAAAATCCCACAATTCTTCTAATTGTCATGTTAAAATGCACCCCAAATCTATTTATTTTGCTCACAGTAAGTAGATATCACTTACCTAGTGATGCTTGATGAAAATGTCACTTCAAAAACTTCCAAGTCGCCCAAGCGAAAAGAAAATTTGATAGAATAAGCTTAAGTCCCGAAATGAGATTTATAATCCGCCCCGACATCCTTCATCGCGATCGCGAAAGCACTCTCGCGATTGTGAAGGCCAATGCCGCCCCTGCCCAGGTCTTCTTCTTCTCGTTTGCGGTCACCTTGTCGCGTTCGTGAACATTTTTCCGCTAACCCTCCACGTTTGCGAACCCACTGCTGCGTTCGCGAAGGCCAAAGCCTACCAGCCCTTCCCTTCATCTTTCTTCTTCGCGTTTGTGTAGGCTCCTCCGCATTCGCGATATGTGGATAGTACTACAAGCACATGCTATTCATATAAATGATCTGGTTAACTAGCAACCATAGAGTTTTCCGATTAACAGGTGTAATTACAACTCAATAAGATTGATAAACCGCCCACAACCCTAAAATCTTAATTTCCATTGATTAAAACTCGATCATAAACATCTGCATTCTTATTAGTTTAGTTAATTACTTGTTTAATACTTGCAAAACTAGTTTTAGTAGAAAAATCATCATGTTTGAGTACCTTGAACAAATAATTGATTTAGTTTGCTTAATTAACAATTGATCTAAGTATTTGTGGGTTCGACATCTGACTCTCGAATTACTTTATTACTTGACGACCACGTATACATGTGTATACTTGGGGATCTAACACCTTTGAGAGTCAAAGAAGGCCATTTATTTGCGGAAAGGCGTTACTCCAAATCTGCGAGTAAATTAAGTTGCATTAAGATCAAGAAAAGGAAATGTTTTCTGTAAGAAATACATAAACCAAGGAGAAATATGTGCATTGGAACATGAAAATCTGCAATGGCTTTGGCCAGAAGAAATAGAAAGATCTTAACGTTATAACATCATATGAACTTATTATACACTTACTGCATTTGTTTTAGCACCAGGGCCATTTTGCATCCCTCCAAGTGAAGCAATGATGTTCTGAAGTTGAGTGAGCTGCAGGACCGGAACAGTGCTCTTCAGCCTGTTGATTGTTCTGTGTCTCACATACAAATGCTGGACAGCATTGAAGCTTTTCATCAAATAGTATGGCTTCTCCTCTGTATCTAGGGTTGTAATACCTTGGATGTTGCAAGAAAGGAACACCCTTCCACCAAAGCTTGAGAGCCTATGAATGTACCAATTGAAAAGGAAAAAGGTAATGAAAGTCATTTTGAGAAACACAATTTATCAGAGATTACTTCTGATTTGTGCATCAAGCATGCAGTGAGACAATTAAATGCTCTAAGAAACAGTTAAATTATGTAGGCTAAAGCAACTCAAGTTTTACAGGATCTTCTAATTAATTAGGAGGAGCAGAAAAAACCTAACATGAAACAGAAAATTTTGATTTAGGAGTAAAAAGAAGAGACAACATGACAACTAGATTCAACAACGAAACCCCTGCCCATTGAAACTGGCGCAATATATTTAGAGTATAATATCCTCACAACCTAATAGGAGTATCAAGTATAATTGAAAAGTGTGCATTTCCTTCCAGTCAAAAGGGCTACCTGCCAATATATCCATAGTGCAACCTTGTGAGGCATTAGCCAGAAGAATAAAGCAATATCAGTATGTGTGGAGGAAGATACTCTTTTGGCCATCAATGAAGCTGAGAAATAGTCACCATGTTTCGGGTGATTTACTGAAATTGTAACAAACAGATTATTGCCAGGGGTATTTGTTTTCATGCTCCAGTTACCTAGCATATCCTGCAATCAATTACGCAAAACTAGTAATGAATAAAAGCTAAAACCAGATAAATATATTATACATGATGAAGATAAAGAGTCTACATGTACAAAAAGCAGAACTATTAAACCAGAAAATTAATGTTGTCAAAACTGAGCACAAATCAGAAGAGTGCCTAGATACTAGGAATAGGTAGTAGGTAAATTTCAGGATAGTAGAGGCCATGTACAAAAAGTTAACGGGATAAAAGGTTGCTCAACCTAGGCAGATCACTACATTTGTATTCGACATCTTGCCACATAGTGATCGGTCTCATTTTTAGTACTCTGTCCTAACTTAAATGTCAACCTTTCCTTTTTGGCATGTCTCAAAGCAATGTTCAGTTTCTAAAACTTAATCTTTTCAACCTTATGATACTAATAAAAATCCCAAGACAATGTCCACTTCTCTTGAAAGGAAGGGTGAGACCCTTCATTTGGATTGGAAGGGAAATTCTTGAAAGGAAAATACAAGGAGCAGTTGGTGGTAGTTGGACAGGATACCATGAACCCTTTCTATCCCTTAACTTGGACTTTTGTTGATAAAGAAATCAGTAAAATACGAAATTGATTGTTGGTTGTGCTTCAGAGGTCATTGGATATCAAGAATGGTTAATGGCTTACATTTATCTCTGATAAATAAAAGTATGAAAACGCAAGACTTGACACCAAAAGCTATGCAAATGCCTAAAATGTCTTGGACTCAATAACAAACAATATAGCAAACTGATGTATGCATTTCTAAACTATTTCAACCTTTAGGCAACAATATGTTTGAGGTTTGTATAACTTAAAAACATAATCTTGAAAGGAGAAAGCAGCATAAAACAGCAGCGCTAAAGATGGAATAGAGAAATGAGCTCTGTGAACAATATGAGTTAACAAATGAAGAGCATACTATTTGTGTTATATATCACCATTGAAGGTTAGGAAATTCAAATTAAGCAAGAAATAAGATGCCAATGCGAAATAGTGATCCCTAAAGATGGCTTACCATGAAGGGACTAACGTGAAGGGCTTTGGCAACTACATCTGAGTTTGGATTGAACAAAAATGATACTCTTTCACTCCATGGGGTGTTAGTCACCTGAAAAAGAATTCAGTTAGCAAATAGACAGATTCTTGATTTATAACTAACTGTTTCATCTAAGATAAGAAATTTTCCGTGCAGCTGGTGGACATTACAGTAAAGTAGAACAGATTTGGGTACAATAAATCTTCCTTTTGAGTCGCTCTGGGTAAAAAGTGCGAGGAACCACTAACGCAAACAAACTTGGATTGCTGAAAATAGCTTATGGATAGACACGGTCACTAACTTTTTGTCCAGAACTAAGACCTAAATCTTTGGTTATGTACCAATTAGAATGACTCACCTCAGCAATGCATTTCGCCAACCTCTGCGAAGAGCCTTCAATATCATGGCAATAGTACAAACTCAACGGGTTTTGCACATATCCCACACTAGGTGGTATTGTCAACAAGAGACTGCCTTAACAAGACGAGTAATCAGTCCATCAAATTGAAAACACTAGAATATTATACTTGTTTACATCATCAGAAATCAGACTTGGCGTGCACAATCGATACTTTGTTTATGCCAAGCCTCAATATGACTTATTATCTCAACAAGATACCAACAGATGAACTTCATATATATTGATTTTGAAAATAAATCCTTATACAAGAAGCAATTAATAATGGAGAACACATGGTAATTCCAAATTATGGAAGACTATGCCAAACAACGTACATAAGAGATTTCCCATTAGAACTGGAAGCAAAATATGTCCAGCCTCAATCTTCCTAAAAAATGGCATACTTCCCATTTTTGTCTATTCCCGAAAGAATATGATATTTCCTTGTTTAGAAACAATTCAACTTTAAACTTGTCATTTTACTCTTAATGAAATGATTTATACCCACACAAATGTCAATGACTTGTTTTATATTATAGGTTTTAAAAGTCCTTTCTTTAGTAAACTATATGCAAGTCAAACAAGGCACATAAATTGGGAGGGGGGCAGTACCAAATATTTGCATTTCAGAAGTTAAACTGTACCGTGAAACAAAGTATGTACTGCCGCTACTAACTCAGAGCAATTCACTATTTTTCAAAAGGAGTACGCATTTTCTTATTAACTCAGAATATTTGTTAGGTATAATTATTTCCTTTTTCTTTTGTCCACCCCAGAAAAAATAATGACAGTTCTAATAGTAGTAGAAATTAACTATTTTGTTTCTCTTTTGCTGTTTACATGAATATGTTATTAGCCCACCAGGAGACACATAATGAATTGCTATGTAGAAATATTGTTTTGGCATTTTGTTCATATTTGACATTAGTTCTCTCTAACTATACCAACCAAATTGTAACAGCGGCAGGAAGAGAAAAAATAAATTTAAAGATGGCCAATAAATAGCAACACTTACACGGGGCCGTTGGTACCAGAAATGGAGCGAGCTTCGTGAGCTGAGAGGTGGTCAGGTGGATTATGAGGCGCATGGTCAAGGTCAATGAGTGCGTAGCGCACCGGGTACCGGAAGGAATGGTGAACGGGACTACGGCGTTCGTGCCAGACAGTGCCTTCGTAGAGAGAAACAGAGTCTGCTCCAGCGTCAAAACGGATGCCAAAGTGGCGGAGGAGAAGGCGGAAATGGAGGAGAACGGAGAGGAAGAAAGAAGTGATGGAAGTTGAAAGTAGGGAGCAGAGAAGATAGAGTAGTTCCATATCTCTGTCTTTGCTTTGGGAATCTTGTGACGTTTAATTTGAACGGTTGGTTTTGTAGTGAAGGGACGGACCAATTGTTCGAAGACAATGATTGACTAGATTCTGTTTTTTTCTAGGATAAAATGGACAAAATTGTTTTTATTTTTATTTTTTGATGATTGTCTTACATATAAAAAATTACATGTAAGCCCTTTTAGTTCTTTATGTTTGTTAAAATTGAACTTTCTGGGCTCTATTATATTTAAATCTAATTACAATAATTACTTTTACGTAAGAAACACAATTTTGTTCGCAATTCTCACCCTTATATCACTTCACGTTGGCACTGTACAGTCTTTAAACGGAGACATTAGGGAGGAGCTTTGTTTACCCTAAAATTGGATAACGATTGAAATTATACGCGATTTTAAGGACACACGATATAATTTGGTACAAATTAAGAAGAATAAATTAATATTGATATTAACGATAAAAGAAATAATGCAAACCACACGAATTGAACAGCTTTGGCCCGCGAGTTCAATCATCCTTGAACCAAATATGTTTCAACTTGCTTGTGAATAAAATAACAAGATAATGAAAGCTAGAAAATAACAGTATATTGCTTAATATTGCGTGAAAATGATGTATTTTACAAATGATCAGACCCCCTTTTACATAGTAGGGGAATCCTACACTAGATACAATTCTATTATGAGGTAAGAAATCCCATGATCGACTAATTAATCAGCCTCTTCTTGATACATACCGGGACTCGCGCAGCGATCTTCGCCCGATTGCGGATATTTTAACTTTTTGTTAATTGGCTCGGTAAGCTTCCTTCGATCTCTATCTTGTCCGGTCTCAGTTTTCGTCGATCTCGATCTTGACCGGTCTCAGGGCCAAGAGCTCGGAAACCTAACTTTGCATCATAGTTCGATATAACTCGAGGCTGAACCTCGAGCTATCGTGTTCCAGTTTCGATTAGTCATACAAAAGGGCAAACCCGACTTTGACCGTTGTTTACCTTGAAAATGGTAATTACAATTAGATTTGATTTTGTGGTTCTAAAAATACGTAATTTATTTTTATGCTAGTTGTTAGGCACTAGATGCTAAGCGTGAGTTAGGAAAATGAGATAAGAGATTAAGAATAGTAGGTTAAGCAAACCAAATAGCCGTAAATCGAGGCCTCGAGCTGGCCTACTATGGCCTCGAGGTCGAGCTAGAGTGCTTGACTGAGGCTGACCGATGAAGGACTAACAGTTCCAAGGGCCTCAATAATGGCTCTTGGCGATCAATGAATAGTAATAAATGAAGAATAATCAATGAAACACAATAAATGTAAGCAATAAATTAAAGAGGAGACAATGGAGAATGTTTAAATTAGAGACCAGAGAATGTTCTTGTTCTTGTATTGAATATCATGTGTGCAAGAAATAACAAGGGTCCCTTTTATATAGGAGGGAGAATACCAACATAGTACATATGCATTTATTACAAAGATAAACAGCTGGTACAACTATTTAATGTCACGGTACGGACTTGTACTATTCTTGTAGACCCGGTCAGCTATAGCCACGTGCCTTTTGGGAATTTCCCGCTTGTCTAAGATAGTCACCAATTTGCACTGCCCCGAGGTCGAGCATTGGGATCCCTTAGGGTCAAACCTTGAGCTGTGTTTCGAGGCTTCTGAAGACGGGCTGTGAAATTCCATAATGATCACAAAATTGGACTCTCTAATTTTAGTCGTATACAGATAGTCCCCATGTTTCTTAGAATGAAATAAAAAGGAACGATCTTGACCTCGATTCTCTCGAACATCTCGTGATGACGTCATACTCGTGACGTAAGCGTTCGTAGTGACCAAAACGTCCCATCGATCCGTCTCCCTAGAAGCGTTGTATGTACTGCCGGTTCGCTTTCCCAAAAGCAGTGATCGCGTAGCCAATCCATTTCCCCAAAAAGCATTGATTGCGCTGTTAAAACGTTTTCCAAGGGCATTGATTGCGCCGTTTATATGTTTTCCAAAAGCATTGATTGCGTTGTTGGTTACGCTACTGTCCCTTAATAAATGGGGAATTGCCTGAGCCAAGACTTTGCTCATACTTTCTTCAATAGCCTTTAACCCTTTTCTTCTCTTCATCCTCATCCAAACTCTAATTTCCATGGTTCAAATCTATGGTCATAAGGTCACACGACAGCAGTTTGCCAGTTATGCCATGGCTCTTTTCCAGAGCTTTTTTCTACTGAGTGGGATCATACTGGATTGTTGTTGTTGTTGTTGTTGTTGTTATTGTTGGCCCGAAATAATGAGAGAGAGGCCTCAAATTATCCCTTTATCAGAGGATATGTGGACTGTAAACTGCTGCTCATCTCTCTTAACTTCAACTCGGTGTGGCGCTTCACTCCTTTTGCTTTCCATGGAGTGAGGTGGCGCCATCTACTAACTTTTGCATCCTATACCGGTGCAATATCTCAAGAAGTGGCTTTATAATAGTAGTTCTGACGAGACCCATATTCGCCAAATTTTTCACCAAGCCACAATTTTCCTTGCCTGTTTAAAGCTCTTGCTCTTTGATAGGCTATAGCCTCTTCCTCATCTATTGCTGCTTCGGAGGAGATTCTCGAAGGCGTCGTTCTGAATATCGAAATGGGGTCCCCGAGGAAATGGTTCCCCCAGATATCGCTCCCGAGGATGTACCACCGAAAGTAGATTAGGCTTTTTAGCTGTTGTTTTTTGTTTCTTTGTTTCTGTGTAAAGACCCCTTGTGGGCTTTTGTAATCGTCTTTTATCAATACAAAAGTTCCTTCGATTTTCCTTTGGCTTATGCTGAACTTCCATTTTTCTTTCGATCGGTCTGAATGCTGGATCCAGACATCGTAATCCCATGGACTGAGTCTGGATCGATCTGATATAAACTTGGGTCGCCGGGACTTCTGAGCTTGAGTTAAGTGAGAGAAGGGTCCCGTTTTTCTTTGAAATAAAGCTTAGCCTTTTTAGGCTTCGTTGCTAGTCCTCGAGTGAGAGTTTGATTGATCACCTGAAAATAAAGATAGCCGTTAGGACTTTACAAATAGTCCCCGAGTGAGAGTTTGCTTGAACTCGGATGGCCTCCAATTGAGCGAAAATTTGCTTCAAACTTAAAGTGAAGATAGCCCTAAGGCTTTATGAATAGTCCCCGAGCGAGAGCTGGCTCAAACTCGGGTAGCCCGGGGGATAAATAATCGAGTGAGTGTTCACTCGAACTCGAGAAAAAAGATAACCCAAAGGTTTTTTACATAGTCCCCGAGCGAGAACTGGCTCGAACTCGGGTAGCCCGGGGGATAATTAATTGAGTGAATGACTACTTGCTCTATAGGCGAACTGTCGCCACTTGCTCTTTATATGTATTTGCTTTCATCTTATTCGAGGATTCTGCTACTTTGAGCAACTTATCCTTTTTATAGAGCTCTTCTTCCTGGCGTCAGTTCTTTCACCATTTTAATTCAAGGCTTTTCGCCTAAGTTTTTATTTCCCTTCCGTTGTTTCACCATAGTTATGGCTGCTACGCAAAAATTCGTTCACCAAGAAGAGGAAAGTTCCACCTCTGCTTCTCGCTTGGTCGGTGGCACACCGCTGGCGTCCGGTGAGCTGACCTCGAGGTGCTTTGTGATGTGAAACCCAAAGATCAAAAGATATATGACATAAATATGATAGGAAGTGACGTAGGATAACATATAAAATTATGAAACTTACAAGGAGATTAGACCTCAAGATTAGAAGCGCAAGCAACCATGGATATATTAAATCCACAACCTCAAGAGCAATAATCAAGTAACCTAATCTATCACCTAAGATAGAAGATTACTTACAAGGAGAAACTATCCTTGAAGCAATCAAGACAAGTTCTTGGTAGAACTTAAGGAGAACTCTCCTGAACTCTCAAAGAGATGAATATATTTCATATAACACTCAATAATCTGGTCTAAAAATGAAAGAATGATGGCTATTTATAGAGCCATTTCAACTACTCTTTACCAAACTACAAGTATGAAAACAAATACTAAAATGGTCTTCAATGGTGGCTACATGCAATCTTCAACAATGGAGGCCTTAAAGTCATCCAAGAAATCTTAAGGTGGCCTACAAATACTGCCATACCATCTAAGTACTTGCTACGCATTTTAAATGATTTCACAAGAGCAATTCAATTCAATGTTTTCCACCAAGTACGAATGATTGAATCTCTTGTATTGGAAATCTTGGCAGATTGGTGCTGTCTTGGTAGAAAGTCTATAATTTTGTCTAGGAGTATTGTAATTGCACAATTCTTGATTCTCTGAAAAGAAGACATATGAGGCTACACTTTTAGAAAGTTTCACAGGTAAATTCATTGTATTTTATTCCACAACTAATTTCGAAGTGGACTAGTGTGATTCTGTCCAGATTTGTACAACTGTAGCTTGTATGACCATAACTTGATGTAGAAAGCTTCAAATTAAGAACGGTTTGGCTCATTAGAATCTAGACTTCAATATCCTTAATCATGATGAATGTTATAGACCAATTTGATCTATACTTGAACAGATTAATATTTTAATTTGGGCCATTGTTCGGACCGTTTTGTGAATGTTGGATAGTATTAAGTATCACTCCTTTGCTCCAATTTTCCCAAAGTATTTACCAAATGTTGCATGCCTACAAAATAAAATACTAACACACTCAAAGTAATATATTCTAAAAAGAAAGTATTACAAAATATATTATTAAAAAAGATGCAAAAGAGTTAATCACAAGTTAGTTTATCACCATTTACTCATTAATATCTCCATTTAGGCTCACTTGAGATACGTATATAAATTTTAGATTCTCATCCACACCTATGACTTCTGATGTCATGTCAAGTAGCTTCTTTACCAACCCATTCATTACTTCTTGAGCTTTTCTAGCTTTATCTCTCGTGATTGGTCCAGATGGTAAATACACATCCATGATTGCAATTTCATCGAAGCGTGCTCGTATCATTCTCCCGGTCTTCAAAAGAATTCGTCCTCGAATCTTCACCTACATC